GCGCAAAAAATTAAAACCCTTGAAATCCAATCGTAATAAATTACGCGCGGGCGAAGTCGCGAGGAACAGCTAGTTGTAAATAAATTTCATCTTAATTGTTTGAGCAGTTTTCTAGAACGCGAATACAAAAATAAATATTTTTGTATTCGCGGATTTGATTTCTCAAATACTATATCACTAACATTTTATATATAAATATTATGTATAAAATCTCACAGAATACCAACGTAAAATAGCAGCTTGACTCTGTGTTTCGTATGGTGAGTGTAGAGAACCGGAGACCCTTTTTACTGGAAATGAGGCATTCCATCTTATTCCTCACCATAGATAAATATATATGTAGCAAGGTCCTCACGGGTGACAACGCATCTGCATTTTGATTTTAATAGAGGATATATGTAGATGTCTATGGGCCGCAGCAACCACTTACCATCAGGTGGACTGTGTGCTCGTTTGTCACCCTTATCCTATAAAAAAATTATAGGATGAAAAACGGACACAAAATCCACCTAATGGTAAGTGGATGCTAAGGCCCATAGCCATGTACATCTATCATCGCTTAAGAATCAAAATTATACTTTCATCTATGAAGACTAAGAATGTCTCATTAACAGTAATAAAAAGCCGGTCAAGTAGAGACGGACCCGCGCATGAAGGGTTTCGTATCATCGTAAAACACGTTTCTAGTAGAGATGCCCCCTTTAATATTTAATTAATTTGTATTTTTATTATTTTTTGTTATAGCGGCAACAAAAACACACATTCTGTGAAAATTTTAACTGTCTGCCTATTACGGATCATGAGATACAGCCCGCTGACAGACAGACGGATGGACGAACGGACGGACAGCGGAGGATTAGGAATAGGGTCCCGTTGGTTAATCTTTTAGGCGCGGAACCCTAAAAAGGGTATCCGGGTACAACAGCCGATACATTGGTACTGCAACCATAAGTTAGCTGCAGCTTGGCTCTACTACGTATAAAGTCTTATTCGAAATGTTTCATTCACTTACAGCGTCGTTAAGCTACATAATTATAATTGTCTTGATTAAATTTCTATACTCATATAAGGTTCAACCAATCGGAGAGATGAAGAATTTTTACAGAGTCCGCCATCGCGAGTTGGACAATCGGGATGATGGAGAGTAGTGCCGCGCCGCAACGGCCTTAACTCATAAATATCGACAGTTGCTCTCTCTCTTTTCACTAAATGACAATGGAAGGAGACAGGTAGTAGTTAGGTAGTTAGTAGTATGTTAGAACTAGTAATGCTAAGAAATATTTTAGTTGGTATGTAACAGTAGTTAATATTTAGTATCTATAATATAAAAATGAATCGCTGAATGTGTTGCTAAGCACAAATCTCGAGAGCAGCTGAACCGATTCCGCTAATTCTTTTTTTATAATATTCCTTGAAGTACGAAGATAGTTTTTACGGAGAGAAAAATTTAAAAATTGCCCGAAGAAGTCTAAAAACTACATATTTCTATAATTCCATACAAAAGATTCGTAATAATACTTAAAAGTCAATTTGAACTTTAATAACATACCATAAAGTTTAAGTGTTAGTGGAGTGGTTCAGGGAAGGAAAAAAAATTGAGTGATGTTAGTATCGTATAAATATTAATGTTTTCTCAATATTTACACACACTGGCAGATAGCTGATGTTATAAGGAGTAATTTTGCCTTTATTTTAGGGTTCCGCGAAAAATAACGCCACGCGTGCGAAGTCGCGGGGAACAGCTAGTTTAGAATAAATGTTTTGAATTGCAAGGCCCCTATGGGGCGTCACTTTATTATGTAGTATAAGTTAAGTATAATATTTCTTGTGACGTGCTTATAATAAATAAAATAAACTATTTATATTAATTTAAACAAGATATTAAAACTAAATATTAGTCAACCTACAATGCATCTGCGTTTTGATTCTTAATCGGGGGATAGATGTAGGTGTCTATAGACCCCACATCCAGTTACCGTCAAGGTGGAGCTTGTTTGTCACTTTTGTGTAAACGCCATATAGGTAGTATTCGATGCTTAGATAAATAAAAAACAATAATTTTCGTTAAATTTATAAATAAGACTGTTTTGTTTTTGCTCGGTGTAATGGTTAAATTGTCAAAGAGTGGATAAATCACTCTGACAATTTTCAAGATTTTATGAATTGCTATTTTTCTTAAATGTGTTGCGTTTGAGTGCGTTTTCCCCAAAAATTGTTTTAAAATAAACTGTATTTAAAAAGATAATGGTCATAGTTAATCTTTAATTTCTACGTTACTTCGTACATTATCAGATGGAATATTTGATAAAAATCAGCGATATATTTAAAGATATAAGGGAGGTAGCAATTTTATATCATTATTTCCAAAGTTTTGTTAAATAAAATTAAACTCAAAAAATAATGATTTTTATAACTTCCCTTTTTATCTCATGTTTACGTGATCTTTGTTATTTAATTTCAATTAATTCTTTTTTACCCCCCAACAAATCCTTAAGGAGTTCGATGAGGGTCAAAACATAATTTTATTAATATAGCCTTAATATTTTGTTAACCGTTTTTTATAAACAAATATGCAAAATTATTTTAGTGATCGAAATGATGTAATACGTTAACAGTTTTACTGAATTTGGCACGGAACCGCTAAAAATAAAGTTGAGTTGTGACTTCTTTTCTAGAGCAATGAAACGTATAAAAATTTGGGCACAGGTCTCCCTTCATTTCTGATAGAGTTATGGAACAATTTGTCCATCGTGCTGCTCCAATGCGTGTCGGCGAACTTCACATCTCGAAATATTTTATTTCTCAGACATGCTCTCAGGTTTCCTCACGATGTTTTACTTCACCGCCGAGCAAGTGGTGAAATAGGGATAAAATTGCAATTCAAGCACTTTGAACCTGGGTTATCCCGACTCTTATAAAAAAAATAATATATTATCATTTAAACATATGCTAATTAATATACTTTTTAAATTTCAATGGTGTTTGATAACGTTCACATTTTTAGGGCGTGTTTTCTACTTTGAGACAAAAACATTTCCATTATGTCGAAGTTCTTTTGAGACATGATGTAGATATAGATATACGAGAGAGAGAGAGAGAGGGCAAACGAGTATCCGGCTCACCTAATGGTAAGTGACTACCGCCGCCCATGAACAACTGCAACACCAGGGGAATTGCAGATGCGTTGCCGGCTTTTTAAAAAGGAGTAGGCTCTTTTCTTGAAGGTCCCTAAGTCGTATCGGTCCGGAAAAATCGCTGGTGGTAATCGATTCGTCGGTAGTGGAGCGCCAATCATCCAGATACTATGGATGGTATCGCGAGTTTTGTCACGATGTTCGATGGTGAAATTGTGTGGCTAGAATTAATCCGTACAATTCCTCAGAGTACTCTCTGTGGTAGATGCGATAAAATTATTATTATACGTAGGACGCTCAATACGTTTTAAGATATACAAAAAGTATTCTAGATACTATTAATATTTATTTTACATCTTTTGAAAATATTCTCCATCATGGTCTAACTATACAAAGTTCCTTTCGCCTAAACCAACTCTCAAAACACTTGCCAGTTTTGATCTGACAGGTCGGAAATCGCTTCTTCGTAGGCAGCCACGGCTTCTTCGGCGCTTGAAAAAAACTTGCCTTTTATTTTTTCTTTGATTCTTGGGAACAAAAAGAAATCACAAGAAGCTAAGTCAGGGCTGTATGGTTGGTGACTTAGAGTTTCAACACCAGTTTCCTCAATAAATGCTTTTGTTCTACGGGAGGTATGTGAAGAGGCGTTATCGTCATGCAGCATGATTCCCCGAAGCCCTGTCTTTGGTTTTCTCTCCCGCAATGGGTAATGCAACTGTAGTATACCATTCAGAGTTGACTGACCTACAATTTTCCAGCATTGACGTCGACAAATGTCCGCTCTGCGAAAAAAAACTAGCCACCATTTTTTGGCGGACGTTGCGAGGTCTTTACAGTTTTGTCGGTAACTGTCCTTCTGAGTAGACCCATACCGATGATTGCCTTTTATTTTCCGGATCATATTGATAGATCCATGTCTCGTCACCAGTTACGATTTCTGAAACACGCTTAGATGCCCCGTTTTCATAACTTAGACGCATTTCATGACACCAATCCACACGAGCCTGTTTTTCGCTTTCGGAGAGCAGACGAGGGATCCATCGACAACAAAGCTTCCTCACTCCAAGATGTTGATGTAGGATGGTATGAATGCTCCCCGAACTAATGCCTATAATCCTTTAGATGTCCGTATATGTGATTCGTGGGTCTTCTCGCACCAACATTTCAGTAGTCCATACATTATCTGCCGTTACTGCTGTTTGCGGGGCCCCGGTTCTTTGGTCATATTTAAGATTAATTTTGCCCCTTTTGGATTCAGTAAACCACCTGAAAATTATTGCGCGTGATGGAGCTGAGTCCCCGAATGCTGATTGTAACCGTTGTAGACTTAATTGTTCGGATAAAACAAGTTTAAAATTATAATATATCATAGCGCGCAAATGTTCATGGTTAAGATCCATCGTTTTAAGTGAAAAGCGCGGGAAGCATTGCAGGAAAATTAATAGAACTTTGGTTTTTTTTAAATATTAAGCAATTGGCTTATGGAGTTCTATTTTTAAATAAATTTGCTTTTTTAGAAACATATAACACGGATGCGTTCCATTTTAAAATTTCGAGCATTTCAAAACTTATTGAGTGACCTACGTAGGATTACCTGCTTATACGACGCCTTCCAACACTGTCGTAGATATTACAATTTACGCCCTTATATTGATTCTAGATTCCCCTGTGTTGTTATCATCGCATCTTTGTTTAACAAAATAACTGAAATCATTTTTATAAAGTATGTAATAGATTAGATAATAAATTAATAATTAGCAAAAGTTTAACATAGTAAGACCTTATAATCAATTCCCTCCTCACGTTTTACATTCGTTACCATTGTTTTGTATTATTTTATTTCGATTTCTTAAAATAACAGAAATAATGAATGAAACCAAATCACTTTTAGTATTATTTTGTGCATCTTTATTTGTAATGATAAATGGACATCTTACAATTGGCGAAAACACACCAAATCCTTTTGATACAGAATTATACGAAAAAGTGTTGGATTCAGAATTATGTCAGAAGCAAATACAATACATGTTGTCTAATAATTCAATTCTGTTGGCGCAATGTAAGTTTTTGACATCTAAATAGTAAGTGGTATTTTTCTTTGTCGTTCAGGGTTAACCTTTTCTAACCTTTTTACCTGGCGTTGTTGAACCAAAAATATTGAACCTGCCGAAGTTCTAGTCTAGACAAAACTGCCTTTAGAAACACCATGTGTTGAATTTTGTTTGATAGAAAAATATTCTAAAGCTACGTGTTCATTTGACAATTCTATTTTCAGTTTTATTCAATTTAAAATGTTAAACATTTTTAAGATTTGCTAAAGCGTGCTCTAGAATTTCAATTTGCCGTTACTTACGTAAAAAAATTCACTTTTCTTACAAATCAAAATGTAAACGATATTTATACTAGCTGTCCAGACAGACCTTGTTCTGCCCTCTCCCACGATCCTTTGTCCTATTAAAATCCTTAAATCGTAATAAAAAATATTGAGGTTCACTTATCGGGATAAAATTGTACCAAACTGCACATAGTGTGCAAAACTTCATTGAAATCAGTTCAGTAGTTTGGGAGTTCATCGTGGACAAACAATGTGACACGTAGTATATATATATAAACTATATATAAACTAAAGATATATGCGGGTGACCGCGCATCTAGCGAAGTTTGTTGCGCTCGGTTTATTGTAAGGCTTATCCCATGGGATAATATAGTGATAATCTGTTATCACAAACAAATCAGGAGATGGTCAGCAGCGCCCTGCGACAGTACCTAATACTTACGTTAAATTACACGTAGAGCCACACAGCAGCTACATGGATGCAGCTCGAATGGGTCGGCTCGATTGGGGAAGAATTACTCTCTTGCAGAATACTAGCCTAAAATAGTAGCTTAACGTCTATGTGTTTCGTAAGGTGAGTGTAGAAGTAGTGTTAGTAGTTAGTAGTGTAGAACCGAAAAACCTTATTCGTGGAATCTAGGTATTCAATCCTAGGCGTCTTTGGGCCATAGCAACCTCTTAACATCAGGTGGACTATGTGCTCGTTTGTCACCCTTATTCTGTAAAAAAAAGTAACAACATGCAAGTAGTTACTTTAGGTTCACTTAAAGTAGTTTTTAGTAATGTTTATAGCGTTACTAGTATTCCTTTTTTTTTTTAGATAAAACATAGAATATTATGCAGATTTCTTCAGGATTTCTGCAAGAAAGAAACTCTTGTCCCTAGCCTATTATAAAATAAGAACCCAGATTCGATTCGATTAATTACGACGGAAGCAACAATCTCGACCTTGTGATACGGATTATCATCTAGAACTGCGATAGCCACTAATCCACCTTACAGAATGATTGTAAATCTACTGCCATCTTCTCAATAGTGATTGTTAGGTATTATATTTGAAGATACAATTTTTTTTATAGAATATCGGTGACAAACGAGCACACAGTTACTCGGATGGTAAGTGGATGCTGAGGCACATAGACATCTACATTTATCCTCGATTAAGAATCAAAATGCAGCAGATACGCTGCCACCCCTGAAGACCAAGATAGAATGCCTCGTTTCCAGTAAAAAGGGTCTCCGGTTCTTTATATTCTTATCTGTTGAATGATGTCATGGATGAACTAAATTACAACTTTTTACTTACCAGGATAAATGATTTTAATGGCTATGTATGTAAAATGTTTTTGTAAAAATGGTAGGTATATTATATTACCGTGATTAAAATGTAATCTAGTAATATAGTTATGTTGTATTTTTATTTAAAACGCATAAAAATAGTTATGATGGATTGTTTTAAAATATATTTATTATCTATTTATATAAATTATACATTATTTATTTATTTATAACAGAATTATACCTTTTTAAGAAGACTGTTGTAAAAACTACAATTTTAAAATAAAAAGAAAAATGTGTTAGAAATAGATACGACATTAAGGGTGTTACGAGGGTGACACTGAAAGTTTTTAGAACTGGCTGCTTGTAAACGATATAATAAAAAATAAGTTAAAATTTTGAAAATGTACACTATATTAGAATTAGGAGTTCTAACTATTGATTGAGGTCTATTTAAGTTTGTGGCAAATGTATACTCGTAGCTAGTGAATTGTTTGTGTCTTAGCTACTAGTAGACTCTTCAGAAATAAGAGAAGATTCTAAACTAGATAAATTGTTAGATATTACCTCCATTGAATCATCATTTTCATGATTTCTTAAATTTACGCCAAATGTGTAGTATTCAAATAAAACTAGTTTTGATTTTATCGCGTATATTAACTTATTTTATATTCCCGATGTTTCTAGCACTTTACAGCACCCATGGTCACGGCAGGGACTGAGGTGTTTGACGTCCCAATGTCATAGTTAACCACGGCTACCTCTAAATTATTTTTTTTTAATTTTTGTTCCGATCTACGCAGTATCAACTTACAGTATCTTGAAGTCTTGCAGTTGTATACTTGTGTTGGGATTTAATTTTATTAATTATAGGATCCCAAGCAGATGGTAGCTCCTAGCCATCTTCTCTATTGAAATTAGGATGTTTTTTGAATTCAATAGCCTCGCCAATCATCCTTGGAAGGAATCGGTGTTCTTTAGCGAGGTTTTGTGGTAGCGTATACATTGCCCCAAGAATTAATTACTGATTCTGTGGTGTCGAGAAACTACCAGTTTTACCCGTGCAAATGGCGGCAATCACGTAATCAAAATGTAAATCAATTCTCATTCATTGCACTAAACAAAATTTCCTGTTTGCTTTCAGTTTTGGATGCAGGCATAAGATTACCCAGAGGTTTTCTCGATGGCAACTCTGTTGATTTGGGAAATTACCAACAATGTCTGGGAATCGATGTACCTTTCGAAAATTCAAATATCGTTGGAAAATATTGTACGATACAAGTGCCTCTAAACCAAGAATTAAATTTGCCTGGATTATTTGGTTCGTCGGAACCATTTTATATGAGTTCATTGAAGTATGCAGCAGATACTGAAGGAATATTACAGCGATATAATGCGATTTTGAGAGGTTATCGAGCATTATCTGGCGTAGATTTAGAAGACAGGTACATCCATTATATATAGTTGTTATTGGCGCCTAATCAGTCTTAATAGATCTAACCAGTTAACCTATTTTTATAATATTCAAATAATACTGTAGCCACTCGATAAACTTCTCTCCTAATAATCCCCCCTCCCTCATCAACATAGTAGCGGAATTTTTTTTTTTTATAGGAGAGGGGCAAACGAGCATCACCTGATGGTAAGTGACTACCGCCGCCCATGAACAACTGCAACACCAGGGAGGGAATTGCAGATGCGTTGCCGGCCTTTTAAAAAGGAGTACGCTCTTTTCTTGAAGGTCCCTAAGTCGTATCGGTCCGGAAAAATCGCTGATGGTAATCGATTCCACAAGGAAGTCGTGCGAGGAAGAAAACATCTTCTAAATCGCACAGTGGTGGACCGCCAATCATCCAGATGGTGTGGATGGTATCGGGAGTTCTGCCGCGATGTGCGTTCGTGAAATTTGGCGGCTGGGATTAATCCGAACAATTCCTCAGAGCACTCCCCATGGTAGATGCGAAAGAAAATGCAAAGGGATGCAACATCTCTTCGCAGTGCCAATGAATCGAGCCGATCGGAAAGAACTCGGTCGTCGACGATTCGAGCCGCTCTGCGCTGGATGCGGTCAAGTAAAAGGAGCTGGCACTGAGGAGCCCCTGCCCAGAGATGGGAACAGTATTCCATGTGAGGCCGAACCTGCGCCTTGTAAAGTTGCAGGCGGTGTGCCGGCATGAAATACTGTCCCGCTCTGCTGAGCACGCCAAGCTTTTTAGAGGCCAATTTGGCCTTCTCTTCCAAGTGACCACGAACCTGTAGTTGGATGGGTCTGAGCGGTCGCCTTTTTTAGTGATCGGGTGGACAAAAGCTGTCTTCCATGAATTCGGGACTACGCCTTGGGAGTAGGAGTACCGGAAAAACGCTTTAGGACCGGTGCCAACTCCGGAGCACACGTCCTCAGCACAATTGGGGGGATTCCGTCAGGCCCACTCGACTTCTGGATGTCCAGGGAGAGCAGTGATTTGCGAACCGAGCGCTGTAAGAACAGCACATCCGGCATGGAGCACTCACACCGCGGGATGGTCGGCGGTGTTTTCCCCCCGTCATCAAGAGTCGAGTTGGACGCAAAAAGGGAGCCTAAAAGGTCGGCTTTGTCTTTTGCGTCTTGGGCCAGTGAGTCATCCTCCCTGTGCAGAGATGGTAGTGATGGCTTACAGAAATTTCCTTGGACAGCCTTGGCGAGAGACCAGAATGCACGGGTTCCCGATGGAAGGCGAACTAGTTTCTCGCCAATTCTGCCTATGTGCTCTGACTTTGCCTTGGCAATAACTCTTTTGAAGGACCTGGAGGCGAAGTTATACTTCTTTTTAAGTGTGCTGGTGTTTACATCCCGAGTCGCCGAAGCCGCAGCCCAGGCTTGAGAACACTCCTGCTTACTGCGTAATGCAGTCTTACAGGAGCGACCAAACCAAGGCTGAGATCTGCCTCCGATGGGTACCACAGATGATGGAATAAATAGTTCCATTCCCTGTAGCACCACATCAGTGACAGAGTCAGCAACAGCGCTGGGATCATCCGGCGAGAAGCAAACCCGCCCCCATGGGTAGGAAGCAAAGAAAGACCGCATTCCGTCCCAATCCGCCGACCTGTAATGCCAAACACGGCGGCAACCTGCAGAACGCAACCGCGAGGGGAGCGTGAGTGGCACCACACTCCGGATCAGACAATGGTCCGAAGAGCCAAGAGGGGCATCGACGGAAACCTGATATCCGTCCGGATGGTCAGCAGAAGGTCCAACATGGAAGGTGTATGATCCTCAACATCTGGAATCCGCGTAGGCGATGTAACCAGTTGTATCAGACCATATGCCAAGGCAAAGTCATAAACAGATCTCCCCGCATGATCGGTTAAACGTGAACCGAGCCATTCGGCGTGGTGGGCGTTAAAATCGCCAAGGATCACGATCTATGCGGATGGGACCTGTTGTAGCAAGGAATCTGTAGCCATTTGGACGTGGTCAATGAGTCGGTCTGTTTCGGCATTACCGCTATGGGACCTATAGAGGCACACGTAGACGCGCGGATGGTCGTCGCTGTCTACGCGTAGCCAAAGGATGGACAGGTCCGAACCTTCAAGACTGCCGAGGCGTCGAGAACAGATGTCCTCTCTGACATACACGCAAACTCCAGCCCGAGGCACAAAGGAATGCTCCAATTTGTACCCCGGGTAGGAGAGATACGAAATATCAGCCGGAGAGGAAACCTGCGTCTCGGTCAGAAAGAGCAAGGCCGGCTTCGCCGTCTCGAGATGGTAGTGGACGGCGTTTATGTTAGAGTGAAGTCCCCTGATGTTGCAGAAATTCACGGATAGCGTGGCAAGGGTCGCCTTGGTGTTCTTGCTCAGTTTGCCCCGAGTAGTTATGTTTTTGAGCGGAATTTTGCCCCCCCTCCCCCCAGAATACGCGGGGCAGCCTGAGCCACGCTCAGGATCGGAATAACATGGTCGTGGATGCTCAGCGAGGGATTCTCCAGGGGCACTGGTACCCTCCTGGGGTAGTCTTTCATGTAATTCCGCTACCATGTTGATGGGGGGGGGGGGGGAATTGGGCCTCCGGCCACCTGCACTCACCAAACGAAACGCAGAAGCAGTACACGCAAACTCCAGCCCGAGGCACAAAGGAATGCTCCAATTTGTACCCCGGGTAGGAGAGATACGAAATATCAGCCGGAGAGGAAACCTGCGTCTCGGTCAGAAAGAGCAAGGCCGGCTTCGCCGTCTCGAGATGGTAGTGGACGGCGTTTATGTTAGAGTGAAGTCCCCTGATGTTGCAGAAATTCACGGATAGCGTGGCAAGGGTCGCCTTGGTGTTCTTGCTCAGTTTGCCCCGAGTAGTTATGTTTTTGAGCGGAATTTTGCCCCCCCTCCCCCCAGAATACGCGGGGCAGCCTGAGCCACGCTCAGGATCGGAATAACATGGTCGTGGATGCTCAGCGAGGGATTCTCCAGGGGCACTGGTACCCTCCTGGGGTAGTCTTTCATGTAATTCCGCTACCATGTTGATGGGGGGGGGGGGGGGGGAATTGGGCCTCCGGCCACCTGCACTCACCAAACGAAACGCAGAAGCAGAGCTTCTACTTCACGCCGGTATTCTGTGAGGTCGTGGTACCAACCCGGCTCGAGCCGGCCCATACGTGCAACAGCAAAAACTGCTGCGTGGCTCTACCACCGTTAAAAAAAAGAGAACCCACTCTGAGCATTCACGACCATGCTACTCCTTCATCGACATCACGGCGAAGTCGGCCTTGCTCTTTCTGACCGAGACGCAGGTGTCATCTCATTCTGATACTTCGTATCTCTCCTACTCGGGGTACAAATTGGAACATTTCTTTTGCGTCCAACTCGACTTTAGATGACGGGAGGTACACATCCACCCACCATCCCGCGGTGTGAGTGCTCCATGCCGGATGTGCGGTTAACACAGCGCTCGGTTCGCAAAGTACTCCTCTCCCTGGACATGCACAAGTCGAGTGGGCTTGACGGAATCCACCAATTGTGCTTAGGACGTGCGCCCCAGCGTTGGCACCGGTTCTAACGCGTCTTTTCCGGTACTCCTATTCCCTAGGCGTAGTCTAGAAATCATGGAAGACGGCTTTTGTTCACCTGATCCCTAAAAAGACGACCGCCTAGACCCGTCTAACTAGAGGCCTGTCGCCATCACCTCCTTTTTCTCCAAAATAATGGAATCCATTATAAACTGTTAGCAGGTACCGCATGGCCTTTAGGATCACCAGCTGATTAGTGACCGCCAATACGGTTTTCGTCGGGGTCGATCAGCTGGTGATCTTCTGGTCTACCTGACTCATAGATGGGCGGAGGCAGTAGAGTTCAATGGGTAGACATTGGCCGTTAGTTTGGACATTTCGAAGGCCTTCGATCAGGTTTGGCACAAAGCGATTCTTTCGAAGCTCCCTTCCCTGCTGGCTTCCCTAGAAATTGTGCAATAGGATCTCCAGCTTTCTTGCAGATCGAAGCATCAAGATCGTTGTAGACGGTGCATGCTCCGACTACAAGCCTATTAATGCTGGTGTTCCACAAGACTGCGTGCTATCACCATCGCTGTTTCTTCTGCATATCAATGATATGTTGCGAACAGGTAACATTCATTGTTATGCGGAATACAGCACTTGTAATGCTCTATACACTGGCCATGCCAATAATTCTTGGGAAAACCTCGCCGAGTACCAGAACAAACTTGTGTCTGAAGTCGAGTCTTTGCTGAACGAAATCTCGGATTAGAGGCGACTAAATCTAGTCCCATTTAATCCTCAGAAGACACAAGTTTGCGCGTTTACCGCTAAAAAGAACCCCTTTGTCGTATCTCCTCAGTTTTAAGGCACCCCCTTTCTTGCCTCAGCCAGTATCGCGATCTTCGGCGTTGACATATCGAGTGACGTGCAGTTTCGTGGTCACTTGGAAGAGAAGGCCAAATTTGCATCTAAAAAGCTTGGCGTGCTCAGCAGAGCGGGACAGTATTTCATGCCGGTACACCGCCTGCAACTTTACAATGTGCAGGTTTGGCCTCACATGGAATACTGTTCCCATTCTGGGCTGGGGCTCCCTAGTGCCAGCTCCTTCCACTTGACCGCATTCAGCGCAAAGCGGCTGGAATCGTCGACGACCGAGTCTTGCGGATCGCTTCGATTCACCGATGATGCGTAGAGATGTTGCATCCCTTTACATTTTCTTTCGCATATGCACGGGGAGTACTCTGAGAAATTGTTGGGATTAATCCCAGCCGCCAAATTCCACGAAAGCACATAGTGGCAAAACTCCCGACCACACCATCTGGATGATTGGCGGTCCACCACTGTACGTTTCTCTTGGAGTTTTCTTCCGCGTACGACTTCTCTGTGGAATAGTTTACCTCCGGCGAAGTTTCCGGACCGATACGACTTAGGGCCCTTCAAGAAAAGAGCTTACTCCTGTTTAAAAGGCCGGCAATGCAGCTGCAATTCCTCTGGTGTTGCAGTTGTTCATGGGCGGCGGTAATCACTTACCGTCAGGTGAGCCGTATGCCCGTTTGCCCCCTCTCGACATCTCTTACTGATGATGGTTGTTACCGTAGCCAGTTAATGACATTTGCGTTGGGGATTTTCAAACTCAGATCATCGTTGTTAGTTAAAAGAGTGCAGGAGAAGTTGTCATTTGAACATGTTGTAACATCTTCCACGCCAAATTGAAATCGTTTTTAAATACAGGGTGGGGCAGCATAACTTCCTTTTTTTAAAACCTAATAAAACACATTGTATGAATCGGAAAAATTTTATTTGGTTTTTACAATGTAAGTACATACTTAAAGTTTTGTTTTATTTAGTTTTGAAGATCAAATCAGGTAGATGACGTCCCTTATTCTCTATACATTGAGTATACCGATTTCTGGTGTTTGTCATAACTCTTTGAAGCAGAGCAGGCGTTATGTTGGCAATTTCTTCCTGGATGTTGTTCTTTAAATCTTGTAGGGTCCTTGGACGGTTCACATAAACACGGGATTTCAAAAAACCCCATAGAAAAAAGTCACAAGGGGACAAATCGGGAGATCGGGCCGGCCACTGCAAATCGCCCCTGATTGAGATAAGGCGTTCTGGGAAGTGTTCTCTCAAAACAGCCATCGATGCTCTTGCAGTGTGTGCCGTTGCACCGTCTTGTTGGAACCAAATGTCTCCCAAGTCCAACGCATCCAGCCGGGGTAAAAAGAATTCCTGTAACATGTTTACATACCGGCCCGAATTCACTGTTACTGTGACTTCATTTTCCTCAAAGAACCAGGGACCAATAATTGCAGCTGAGGAAATTGCACACCACACTGTGACCTTAGGTGAATGCAAAGGCCTTTCATGCAATTCTCGAGGATTGGTGTCAGCCCAGTAGCGCATGTTTTGTTTGTTCACGGATCCACACAAGTGAAAATGTGCTTCATCACTAAAAAAAACAATAGCGTCCTCAGGAACGACATCCAGAAGAATCTCACATGCGTTCCTGCGAGAATCGTAGTCACGTTTTGACAGTTCCTGTACAGTCGCCATCTTGTATGGATGGAAATGTAAGTCTTCATGGAGAATTCTCCGCACAGAACGACTGGAAAGTCCAAGGGCAGATGCATGTTTGCGCGCAGAACGCCGTGGTGATCGCAACATTGAAGCTCTGACTGCCTCAATGTTCTCAGGTGATCTAATGGGCCGAGGGACTCCAGTTCTTCGTTTTGTCACACTTGCAGTTTGTCTAAACGTAGTGACCCACATAACAATTGATTTTCGGTCTGGAACAGGGGCCAACGGGGCTAAATTAAAGCGATTTCGAAAGGCGCGCTGAGTTGCAATCACAGAACATCCGCGCGAAAAGTAAGCCTCAACAGCAAACGCACGCTCCTCACTGTTCCAACGCATTATGGCGACTGAGCTGACTCGACTAAACTTTATAGCCCCCCCTCTCGAACGAGACCACTAGCGCTCCACTACGATGTCACCTGACCGAATGGCGCGCATTACAAATAAGGAAGTTATGCTGCCCCACCCTGTAGGAATAGTGTGACAAGTGAGCACACAGTCCACCTATCTATCCTCGTTTGCGAATCAAAATACAGATGCGTTGTCAGTTGTGAGGACTAAGATGGAATGCATCTTTTCCAGTAAAAAGGGTCTCCGGTAATCTACACTCACCATACGAAACAAGGCGTATTAAGCTGCTATTTTATACTGGTATTCTGTGAGAGCGTGGTCTTTCCCCAGTCGAGCCGACCCATTCGTGCTACACCTATACAATTAATACAGTTGTAGTCATGGATCTACCACGTAAAATAATCAGCCAAAAAATATATCCAGAGAGGTCAAATATTAATATTATTTTATTTTATGTTGTATCCTAAAAATTGTTGATGTCATTTTTCTAAGATTACTTTTTATTACTAAAAAATTCCTCAAAAGCTCAAAGAAATTCTTCTTGTCACTCTCCCACGACAATGTGGCTGCCAAGATTATTTAAATTTTTTGATTTTTATCTTTAAAGTATAAGTTATATTAACTAACAATGTACGTTTCAGATCCACGCCCGGAGGTCCTTTTCAAGAATCGGTTTTGAGATTGGCAGTATGTATTCCTCAACCTTGTACCACACAAGAGGCTATATCGGCTTTGCTGTTTAACGTCAATGCTCTTGGTTTTGAATACAACGACTATTATTGTCGTCTACCTAACGACAAACAATGGGTACCCGCTGATAACTTTGCAGTGTGAGTCTGAGAGCCTATCAATATGGTCACGATGTTTTTTTGATCATGATTATAGCAGCATCGTGTTTCATTGTTAAGGAGTAGTGCCAGCTGATTTGTTCTACCCCGGCATCACCTCAATACCATAGTGCCAGTGTATCAAGTGTCCTTAATCATCCTAATCTACTTGTACGCGAGTAGTGTCAAAAACAGAAAACTTTGCACCCTGTCATACGTGGTAGAGCCATGCTTTATTATTGTATAGTGTACTACGAACGGTTCGGCTCGAGCGGGGAAGGACCACGCTCTCACAGAATACCAGCGTATAATAGCACCTTAATACTGCTGTGTTTCGTATGATGAGTGTAGAGAACAGGAGACCTTTTTTACTGGAAAAGAGGCATTCCATCTTAGTCCTCACCGTTTAAAATGCATCTGTTTTTTGATTCGCAAACGTGGATAGATGTAGTTGTCTATGGACTACAGCAACCACTTATCATCAGGTGGACTGTGTACTCGCTTGTCACCCTTATCCTATAAAAAAGCCGGAACTTAGCAGCCAATCTGACGACTAAGTTAAAAGTTACTGCTTCAGTTAACACCTTCAGTTACTACGCAATTGTAATATTGTACAAACGGGGAATATGTCAATGAACTTTTTTCCAAACGTCAATTTTATCTACACGCGGTGCTTACCGTTGATAGTTCGACGAGGTACTCAAAATAATACATGACAGCTATGGCAAATATCACCCTATGGGAGAGGCCAATGTTCAGCAGTTGATTTTTGATAGGGTGTAATGCTAATGATAAATGGGTATCGGCTCTATCTTCAGTTGTTCACCCTGGCCATCCGAGAAGTGAATGTATAAAAATTCTTCAAAAGTATTAAAGTAAAATTAAAACACAGAGATTGAAATAAGATTACACCACAAGGCCAAAACAGATTCAAGATATACATTTTAACAAAGATATGTAAACTGACGAATTTAATCCTATTTGAAGAAAATTGAGATATTCATTAATTACAGAACTTTTACTGAAGTGCTACTTAACGTATTTAAGCTGAAATAAAGCCTGCTCAGTATATTAAGCTGGTACATTCTAAGAAATACCTTTGACAGGTTTAAAAGGCTGTTGTTTTAGCTATGGGTTTAACAAACGACAATACAGTCCACCTGATAGTTGCACGAATTAAGAATGCAAATACAAAATCGTTGTCACACCTGAGAACTAATATGGAATGTATCGTTGTTATTCAAAAGTGTAAAAGAAACTACAGTTCTTATCACTCGCCATACGAAACACTCGTATTCCGTACATGCGTGGTCCTTCCCCGGTCGAGTCGATCGGGATATACATGCTTCATGCATATTATACGCTTTAGCGTCGCTCTATTATGTACAGACCAACAACTTGAAATGGGATGTTGACAACCTCCCTCAAGCCGATATTACATAATATAGCCCCGAGTTATCAGATATTTTTGTAACAAAAAAAAAACGAAATAAGTGTAATACTTTAAGAGTATATTTGCGAAATAGTTTTGGTACTTACAATTTCACATTTCACTCATTTGAATTTACAGTTAAGTACCTTTATGGACGCTCCGGCAGCATAGAATACATAAACTCTTCTTTTGGAGTGCTTTTTATCACTATATGTCTATCTAAGTCCACACAACTCTCTTGCCTACTTCTGTCTCTAAGCAGCAGTACACACACCAGTGTTCGGGCTTAAAGGGTGATCCCAGTGTGATTAAAGGCCATGATGCATTCCATCTTAGGCCTCAGAGATGATAACGAATCTGTCTTTATTGACCTTGTGTCCTTGTAGGTACAGGTGTCCACAGGCTGTAGTAAAAAATTACTATAAAGTAGAGTCTAAGGTATTTTTATTTTAAAATTAAAAGAAATCAGTAACTTCAATCTTGTTGGTATTGTTTGGGTTAAAGTTGAATTTTATTATTTTTCTCCTTTTCATTTTAGAGTGATTTTCACCATAATTGGATTTTTGACGCTACTAAGCACTACGTATGAGCTAATATACATCTACATCTTAAAGAAAGGTTGGTATAGACTTTAAAAATTATTTTATCGAGTACCTTTAGGAGTTCACAATGTAGCCGGCGGCATCATCACCATACGGACGAAAGACCAGCAGACTGGATTTAATAGAACAAAATCAACTCGTCTCATATCTCATATAGATATTGAGCAAGATTACAGGTATGTTTACGGAAATTACTTATCATAATTTAAAATCGATATGTCGCAGTAAGATGGTTGAAGCCGTGATATAATTTTATCCCTAGGGATATAGCTATATACCGTAATATAGTTATATGATGGCGGTTCCCAACTGTCTTACTAGGAATATAACTATGATTCGAGTACTATCTATTAATATAATTATTTGACTAGACTCATCTAGTGAAATAATTATAATTGTAGACTGATTGTTACTCCTGTAGACGAAATGTTCATGTCATTTGTGGAATATCATCATGTGGTGAAGGTTACGGATCGCAACTGTTATGCAATTAATGCAACACCGAAAAACGAAGAAATATAAAAATAGTTTTTGAGTAATTAAGAATAACTCAAAAACTATTGGTCTGACCTTGATCAAATTCATATGGGACCACACGAAAAGTACCAGCTTTCGAATAAAAAAAAGAATCATCGAAATCGGTTCACCCAGTAAAAAGTTATGAGGTAACACACATAAAAAAAACACAGTCGAATTGAGTACCGTCTCCTTTTTGGAAGTCGGCAAAAAAGAGTTCGCTGGCTCTACACGTGGCTCTACCATCTCAACAGTGGTAGAGCCACGTGGCGGCTTTTGTTGTCGCACGGATGGGCCGGCTCGAACCGGGGTGGTACCACGACCTCACAGAATACCAGCGTGAAGTAGAGGTTTACCTCTGCGTTTCGCTTGGTGAGTGCAGGTGACCGGAGGCCCGTTTTACTGGAAATGAGGCATTCCATCTTAGTCCTCACGGGTGACAACGCATCTGCATTTTGATTTGTAATAGAGGATAGATGTAGATGTCTATGGGCCGCAGCAACCACTTACCATCAGGTGGACTGTATGCTCGTTTGTCACCCTTATCCTATAAAAAAAAGATAAGGGCAGTTTATTTTGCTTTATGCCAGTCCATTACTACATATGGTATAATTGCATGGGGAGCTGCTTCTAAAACAAATCTAATTCACGTTGAGAGAGCTCAGCGAGCAATTATAAAAATAATTAATTTTAGAGACTCGGAAGTCTATAGACTTCCGAGTCTAGAGACTTCCGATATCCAACCTCATACCTTTATAAGGATTACTCCGTGCTTACTGTAAGACAATTGTATATTAAAATCACAGTCATAAAACAACATACCAAACCTACTACGAATTATCTAATACAAGAAGGCCTTTTGTTATCTATAATATTCCTCTCTGTAGAACAAGATTTGCCCAGAATTTTTTTCCGTACCTAGGACCATTACTATATAACCGTTTAAATATATTCTCTACTAATTTAAGATATTTATCGCTTTTGTTCTCTTTAAGTTGCTCGTTTATATGTGAGGGGTGGCAATCATTGATGAACTTTATATAATAAGTTAGATAATCCTAGAGTACAAAATACTTCGCATAATATACAATATAGACTTATATATAATAATAATAATAATAATAATAATAACGTTTATTTCTCACCACAAACAAAGTTACATTTAGAGTTAAAAGTAGCATATAAGTAGTACAAAACTACTTTGCCCGTGGATCGCTGGTGTCTATGGTGGGTAAGATACTTATAAGTATATATAAGTAATTTGTTATTATCATTGTCCAAAATTTATAATGACAATGCTTTCTGATAACTTAAAAGTCTAAGATTTGTTAATGTAGTCATAACATTTTAAAACTAAAAACACAATATTTTCTTCATGTGAATGTTTTGGTTAAACTATATACAAACAGGCAGTTAATTACTGCATCGAATACAATGAACTAGCCGCACTACTCTGCCGTCATACAGTTTTTTACTAGTACGGGGGGTAGAAGACTAATTTGTTGTTGCAAAAAATAGCCAATATATTACAAATATCTACACAAATCTTTAGTACGCATATTATTGTAATTGTAGGCTAAGTCTTGTGAATGAAGAATTATTATTATTATTATTATTAAAAAAAGAATCCAAAAAACATTCGGAACAGATTGGAACACGGGCTTCTGCCGCCTGCAGTCGGTTTCGGAATCATGACTGCTGCGACATGACGCCACATGTCGCAGCGACATGACTGCTGCTGCTGCCTGCAGTCGGCTACGGAATTATACCTTTATGCGTTCTGTGACGTATACGTACTAATTCGTAATAACGTCGGCGATGAAATCTATAGATATAAGATTATTTGCGTTTTTTAGTTACTCGACAAACTTATGTTATCACAATGTTATGATATATTTATAAGGAACTTGCTTTGATTATAAGTGCAAATGGCTAATTTATAACTCTGTTGCTAACGCTACATTTATTGTTTTTATCTTCAATGCAGTACCATTTTATCAGAGACCTACATACACGATTATTTATATCATATTTGACTTCGTTAGTCTAGTGGTGGTGGCGAACGCGACTGCTGATCAAGTGGTCCAGAGTTCAAATCCTGGATCGGATAAATTATTGGATTTTTTTGTGAAGACATTCTCACTAGCAACTCGGAATCAGAAAGTTGGCGGTGATACTTCACCCCCGTGCCTCACAATGCACGAAAAGCGGTTGGTTCTGGGCCTGATCACTCTCCAGTCATGTTGGATTGACGTCCCATCGGACTTTTTAGAATTAGATAATAGAGATTGCATAATATTATTATTAGGTCACTGTGCAAATATAAAAATCGATACAGTGGTATTTACGTAGGTGGACCTTATGTTTATTAATTTGTATCCCAGTAACAAGGAAAAGGAATTTTCATAAAACTCCTCGCTTTGATTAGTATTGTTACGAGCTTGAGGTTCGAGACAATTAAAAACTGCCGATTGAATTACCAAAATTGACACTTTAATTACAGAACACTAATTACAATTTAAAATTTCGCAACACATACGTTACGCTTGCAAAGGGTTCAGAAAACGTTTCTATGGCACGTAGCGTTCTCTGTAGGTAAAGCTCGATCGCTTACATCATACAAAAGTAGGCTTCTCGCTTTTAATTTACTGCCGTTTGAAGCAAGAAGTGACATTTTAGATTTAATGTTCGTATACAAGCTGTTCCATAATAAGATAGACTGTCCTCCTTTGTTAAATTCCTTTTCCTTCAGAATACCTTCTCGGCTTCCGAGAAAGCCTGTTCAACCTATGAACCCACCATAGCGTAGGACTAAACTTGGTCATTTCTCTCCTGTTCCTAGATTGGAGTAGACTTTACAATGAATGCAGCAAATCGGTAGATCTTAATTTTGATTCTTTAAAACTTTTTCGTAAGCAGATCAGGGACTTTATCACGAAAAAATATCTTTTGTAATTTGTTAAAAAATAACTTAAAATAGGTTTTTGTGATTTTTCTTTTCTTTTACATATAAGTAACTTATTATTATTAAGCGCATGATGTGTTCTCCTATAAGTAGTTATGCACTTAGTTTAAGACATGTTGGAACTTGTATTTTTTATTCAAATGTATTGTGTTATAACTGTTGGAGAACCTAATAAATAAAATAAAAATAATAAAAATAAAACCACCCTAATAATAAAACACAATTGTACTACTGATCACTAGTCCGCCGTTATATCACTTCGAAGTATTCTCTTGTATCGCCAATTCAATACTGACTCGGTCGTAGTCTATACCGGCCTTATATAGGGCCTCAGATAGTTTCCAGAACCTTCTACTGTAGCGACATCTAGAATGTTCGAGTACATATCGGTCCCGAAATTTCTGGAAGGATCTTGACTCTCCTAGTCCTGCTACTCGACACTAGAGGGCGCTAGTGTAACTAGTGTTGCCATGTACAAGACATTAATAGTGGCGCGCAACACCTTCTGCTACTCGACACTAGAGGGCGTTAGTGTAACTAGTGTTGCCATGTATAAGACATTAATAGTGGTGCGCAACAGTATTGATCTAATTAGGTCACTGGGAAGCAATTATATAATTGTATACACTAGGTGGTGAGATTCCTTTTCCAGCTGGCAAATCGTCTGCTTTGGCACCACCCTCTTATCTATTTCTGCTGCCAAATAGCAATGATTGAACTGCTGTGTTCTGGTAATCAGACAGAGAGAGAGAGAGAGAAAGAGAGAGAGAGAGATGAGGCACTCCAACTTAGTCCTCAGAGGTGACAACGCATCTTCAATTTAACATTCATGACAATTTTATTTCAAAATATATAATTACAGAATATCAAAAAATGTGTATATAACTCCATAACAAATAAATATTTAAATTATTTTATAATGTAACTAATTATAAATATTTTTCTGTTTTAGATCCAAAGACCGCGAATTTTTACTATTGCTCCTTTTCTTTATATAACAATACTCGTTGTGTCCTAAGTTTCCCCAAAAGCGCTGATACCTTACTATGTCTTCACGGCATACGAACAATCGCTACATTGTGGGTCATCATAGGCCATGCATTTTCTTCTCTCACCTTTTTACTGAACCCTACTGAAATTTTTATGGTAAATATTGGTTTATTTAAAACGTTACCTTTTGAATTTAACTTAATAAGAGCATCCACGACTTCTCCTGCCACCAGGGCGGTGCCATTTAGGATGAGGTGAAATATTTAACAATTTTCAGGTTTGTTTGTTATAAAAGAGGAGAGGTTAATGTTTCTTTACGAAATATTTGTCATCTTTTATATTCATTATATAAGTAATGTACAAACCAAACTATGGATATTCCTAAAAGCAGAAGGATTACAAAAAAAGTTAAAAATGTGTAAAAAATTAATGAATACAGCGCCGAGTCATTGTTTTGTACACTAGATACTGACAATGATAATGACGCTGTTTTACAATCTGCGTAACTAATAAGTTCACCTCAGTCCCAACTATCGACCTCTGGCGAGCGTAATATTATTAGCCCTCATTGAAATATAAGTTTGTTTACTTTCTGTACATTGTATTTTTGCTGATATAAGTTTTATAATCTATTTTTATAGCTAAGCTTCCACCTCAATTCCTATGAAAACGGAAAATACCAATTTTATTTTTTTGCTGTCATTGCTTATATTAATTTAACGTGGTTACAGTGGATGGTATCAGCTGAGTCGACGTGGATTACTGCAGCACCTATCACAGTGGACACGTTTTTTGTTATGACTGGAATTCTGTTGGTGTTCACAACTGCAAAGAAAAGCGATGGAAGTAAGTGTACTCTATGAATATTGGTGTCAATTATCAAATAAACAATCTTGTACTATACCGTAAAAATTATAATACTGGAAATTGATATCATATGCTTTTAAATCTAAATCTACTATTTCCTTTTGCTTGCTTATCGGATAAATGATCGTAAGTAGCGTGATAAAGTAATGTGATTTATAAACAAAGTGAAAATATTCGATAACGCCAATGACATAATCCTATTATATAATCTAGAACGTTGACGGCTCCGTGGCTCTATCGGGGCCGCGGGTTCGAATCCCGTACGGAACAAGTATTTGTATGGCCTGCAAATAATTGTTCCGTGTCTGGATGTTTGTCCTTGTGCAATTTATGTTTGTAAACAGGAGCAAATCCTAGTGAGGTGGTAACGTTTTGTGAAAGAAAAAAAGAGTACCTATATATTTTCTCTTATCCTCGTTTACGACCAATGATTTATGGAGTACATTGTGTTTACTTCACATACGTACGCACGCACAAACGGACGCACTCACGCACGCATTCACGCATGCACGTGCCTTGTTATACGTTCTAATATATTTTATCAGCTTTTAAGTAACTGATCTATTTTATGATTTATACTGGTTAATTTGTGTATTATTCATTAGAAGAAATTTGTTTCATTTCTAAAGTAAGATGTTAGTGTAATTTCAATCAATCAATCGATATGTTCTTTATTGTACACCAATACACATTAAAACGAAATGAAATAAATATATACAAGGTTCAATAGGCGGTCTTATCGCTCTGGAAGCGATTTCTTCCAGACAACCCTTATTATGCAAAGAACTGTTGTTTACAGCGAATTGTAAATAGGGTAGGGTACATACATTTGACAATCAAGTTACAAAAAAATGTATAAGTATATAAATACGCACAAGATGATGACGGTTGAGGATTGGTAGTATATATACAATTAAGGACGGAAATGATGATGGGAAATATTAGATTCCAAATAATAAGTTTGAGTAGATTTTTGAAGGAAAAAAGGCACTGAGCACGTCGGATATATAAAGGCAAGGAGCTCCACAAGCGTACAGCTGTAACCGAAAATGATTTATTGAAGAAAGAGGATGAATGTGCTAGAACACGAAGCAAAAAATTGTTAGTGGAACGTAGATGACGATTGTGAGAGGAGGAAGCGAATTCAAAGCAGCCTTTCAGGTAACGTGGAGTGGATGGATTGAACAGTATATTGTATAAAGCAGAAAGTATATGAGTATTCCTGCGAAGACAAATCGGCAGCCAGCCAGAATTTCGTAAACGTCTCAGTTTACGAAATTCTGAAATGTGATCATATTTACGAACTCCAAATATGAATCGTAAGCATACATTTCGAATACGCTCAAGTTTATTTAACTGCGCTTCGGAAACGTCCAGATAGCAAACATCAGCATAGTTAAGAATAGGCAGAAGTAGGGATTGAGCACGCGCAACTTTAGTGGCAGTAGGGAGAAAAATCTCCACAGAGAGCTTAGCACTGCAAACATTTTCCTACTGACTTCATTAATTTGTGGTGACCATGTTAGACAGGAGTCGATATATATTCCTGAATTCATAACTATCATTATAAGGGATGTGAATGTCACTGAGGAGAACAGGTGGTATGAGAGAAAAATCAACCCTAGCAACTAATCTGGAGCTACCAATAATTATTGCTTGAGTTATGGTGGGATTAATGGATAATCCATCAGATTTACACCAGTCCAAAATACACGACAAAACAGCGTTCGTTGTGTCAATAGCTTTCGGTAAATCATTCATAGTAGATTGAGTCTAAATTTGGAATTCGTCGGCGTACAAAGTGGTAAGAAGAAGACAGTTGATTACTTACAAAATTTATAAAAATTGCAAACAAGAGAGGAGACAACACGCCACCTCGTGCGACGCTGGCAACAGTAGCGGTCCAAGAAAAATACACATCCTGTACTTGAATACGCTATCGGCGCCCAAACAAGTAACTACGAAACCAGTCAACTACAGCCGGAGATATGATGAGAGAGCGCAATATATTTAACAAGATATTAAAATCGACTGTATTAAACGCATTTCTGAAATCTAACAAAGTTAGTATTGTAAATTTTTGCTTTTCAATACCATAACGAATTTCATCAGTAATTTGTAAAAGTGCTGTAGTCGTACTATGACCAGGGTTGAAACCGGATTGCAGATTTAGCTATGGGGGGGGGGGGGCTAATTTTATAAGACAAGATGAGGTCATGATAAGCGAAGGTATCAGCTGCACATTGACCGTGTTTTGCGACATGGTCAAGAGAAGATACAAACATTAAGTCTAGAAGAGAAGGGGCACAATAAGGAAAAAAATGTGTTGCAGAAGTAGAAAGAACTTTTAAATTTGCTGCCTCATTTAAGTTTCTTGGATCTGTTGTGTTTGAGTAGACACGTGTTAAAATCACCCATTATTATGGTATGACCATAAACAGGTATGAGATTCACTAAGAGATCATCTAAATCAGAAAAGTAGTCCATTGTGAGAGAGCTGTAATAGACTCCAAGTAATAATTTTGTGTGGCAGAAAAGGATTTCAATGAAGAGGAATTCTGCTACGCTTCCAATTTGGGATATTGATAACGCTTGAATAATAGAATAGGCTATATGAGATCGTAAGTAAATTGCAACACCGCCCCAACTCCGCTCGGTGCGGTCATTACGAATTAAAGTGAAGCCTGGAAGCAAGTAGGAAGTAGATGGAATACATGGTTTTAACCATGACTGCGAAACTGGGACATCATGTATGTTTTTACTATCGAAACTTGACAACATATCAGGCTAATGAGCATGAATACTTTGAGCATTAATGTGAACAATGTTAAAAATATATTTCTTGTTATTCTAAATAAACGATATATTGTAAAACTTAACTTAAAAAAGCCTATCCACTCTTGTTTTAAAAATATCTACAGTGTAATCGGATAGAAAGTTGACGTTAGAAACTTATTAAAAACCTTTGTGGTACGCATTTTGTACGATGAAGCGAACCGTTGAATTCGAATGCTTGGTACGAGGATGAGCCTGCTTCAAATTTAGTAATCATGTCACGGCATCATTCCACGCGGGCCTACTTCTGACCATCGTTGAAGTTGTGCGATGCTTAGCGCAACGCTATTCTCTTCACGCGAAGGTGTTCGTGAAAAATGTAGTGAATGCTTCCCAATTTATCATGCAATATATACTGAATCTCTTCATGCGTAAATCGTCTATTCACTTTAGTTACATTTTTCACTGCTAGCGCGTTTCTTTCTATCAGACAGTCGTTAAAGGATGACCACTTCTTTCTTTACCTTTTAAAGTTAGTCGACCGTATTGAAATTTGTTTTTCTGACGGTACATCGTCGCCAAACGATTTGTCCGCTTTTAGGTTTTATATGTATATGTATATGTAACTTTACGTACAAGTAATCGTTTGCAAATGGTTTATACATTAAGTACTAGATATAAAAGTGACACGTAAATTTAACACTCATTTACAGTGACTCTCGTTAAAAACATACACCTGTTCTACTTGAACAGACTTTTACGTATGTTGCCACTATTGGCGGTGGCAGTTCTATTGGAGGCGTCCATATTCCACCGGGTCGCGGACGGACCTGACTGGAACGTTGTCGCGAGAAACGCGCACAGATGTCGGGCTTTCTGGTGGACGACACTTCTGCATATGCAAAATTACCTCAATCCTAATGAAATGGTGAGTCATATTACATTTTTTTTAACTTGATAATTTATTTAAATGTTATCACATTTGCTAAACAGCGGTAGGTCAGAGGCTAAGCGCCAGCTGTATACGAGTATATCACAGTACGCGAGCAACTCGGGTTCGAATCCCGCCAACACCAATGAAATTGTTAATTACAATTTTAAGTGCTGATTTACTATGTGCTCTACGGTGAACGAAAACATCGTGAAGAAAAACCTGCATGTCTTAGAAATTAAAAAAAATATATCGAAGGCATGTCAAGTCCACCAATACGCATTTATGCAGCGCGGCGGACTTTTCCTAACACCTTCTCAGAAATGAGAGGAGGCCTGTGCCCAGGAGTGGGACGAAGTAAGCTGTACCTTTAAAATTTGGTAAGTAAATTGTGTAGAGCCGACTGTAATCTAACTAGAGAGAAAAGACACAAAGACACTCATTAGGTTATACTGATGAAAATAACTTCATAATAGGTCGGGGAAAAAGTTTCTTCGGATTTTGTTTGTATAAAATTGAAGAAAAATCTGTTAGATTGTACTGTTTGTTTCTGGCTGGTCTTCGCGAAAAAAATTTGTGACGTTTACGGACCCAATGCAGTGTCAGTAAGAGTAGCACAACGATGGTTCAGAATTTTCAGTCCGGGAATTTTGATGTCTACGATCCAGCTCGATCTGGTCGCCCTCATACGGATAAAGCCGATGCCATTTTTAGGTTTTCGTAGTTAAGGAACACACAATAAGGAACCCTTAGGGTCAGCTCGCACCGAGACGTGACGCAACGCGACGCGGCGCGCTCTCTTTAAGGTAGTGATACAAAATATAACTTAATTTAATACACAAAATTATACACATTTTATTGAGATAATTCTAAAATGCCCCGCGGCATTGCACTAGGCCGCGCTGCGCCTCGAGATGCCTCGCGGCGTAGCGTTCCTGCTACAAATGTGTAATTTGGCATAGTTATAAATATTAATCACGTTTATAGTTCGTAGTTATTGTAGGCCTCATTCAAAGTATTCATACAATTATTTATCCTCATACAGTTTTATACGTCACAGTCTTGGTTTACGCAGGATAATAATTTAGGGCAGTGGTGGGCAGTTGACGTGAAGGATCGTTATGTCCATATCAAACTCGTTTCTTAGGGTTGCACTGCCAGGAATATATGGATAGATAGTCAACTATGATCATCTTTGTTCCTTGGCATGTGAATGATTTGATGTAAATTGAATTATTTTCAAAATCGAAAAGCTTTTTAATCTTTTTTGAATAGTACTCCCTATAAGTATGATTTTAAAATAAGTATTTCAGTTACCATCTACCTATTTGGGTCCATTTTAGTTGTTATAGCGGTCAAACAGCGAACTCACTTATTATGGTCATTATCAAGAAAGCCCGTGGGCATGTGACGGGCAACTACGGAACCCTACCTCTACATTGTGCGTAGCCCGACACGCACTTGGCCAGTTTTTGAAAAAGTGGAGCGAGTTGGGCGTATTTGTAGTTACGACATAGCCGAGGAATTGAGGATTCATTTGAAAAAGACTAGCTAAAACAAAAAGCTCGATATTTGGATACCACACGAGCTCACTGATAGAAACTTAATACCCATTTGCGATTGTCTATTGAAACGTAATGAAACCGAACCATTTTTGAAAATATTAATCACTGGTGATGAAAAGTGGATCACGTTCGACAAGAACGTGCGAAAACGATCAGGTCAAAGTGTAGTCAAGCCCCACAGACTAGCGAAACCCGGATTAACGTGCAATAAGGTGATGCTGTAAGTATGGTGGGATTGGAAGGGTATCGTTTATTATGAGCTTTTACCGACGGGCAAAACCATCCATTCGAATCTGTACTGTCAACAACTTATGAGACTCAAGCAAGAAATTGAGAAAAAAACGACCGGATTTGATCAATAGTAAAGGAGTGGTCGTTAATTATGATAACGACAGGACCAGACACATCTTCGGCCACTTGGCAAGAATTGAGAGAGCTTGGTTGGCAAGTGTTAATGCATCCACCATATAGGCCTGATTTTGCACCCTCACGTTTTCACCGGTCTCTTCAGAATTTTTTGGGTAGTGCTAGGGTCATCAAGAAAGGACTGTCAAAACTACTTGTGTCGTATTTTTTTGATCAATAATCCCAAGATTACTACAGCAACGGGACTATGTCACTACCTACAAGGTGGCAACAAGTTATCGAACAAAATGGCACATATATATTATAATTAAATGTAATTAAACTTTAAAAAAAGTCTTCCATTAGTATATAAAATGCGAAGAAACTTTTTCTCCGACCTTATGTAATTAGGAACATTATAATTATTGTAAGCAAGATGTATGTCTTTCTATCGCGTATTGGTAGCCGACTGATACAAATGAAGTTAAGTCATAATTTATGACTTTACTGGTATTTCACATAGTCTGCTTGTACCTCTTACGACACCCAAGGGACAAAATGGAATGATGGATTTTTATACATCGCCTGGCGACGCCACCACAGATTAAAGTACATGGCTTCCGACAAACGCCGATTTCCCGGCAAAGTTAACGCTATTAACTAACCTTGGTGCAATAATTACTGTAATATTTATGTACCTAAATATGTAGTTAAATGTATAATGTATATATATGTACGTAATGTATGTTATTTTATTATCTTATGTATATCTACGTGGTAGAGCCATGCTGCAGCTATATTATGGTTGTAGCACGAATGGGTGAGCTCGAACGGGGAAGGACCACGCTCTCACAGAAAACCAGCGTAAAATAGCAGCTTAACGCTGCTGTGTTTCGTATGGTGAGTGTAGAGAACCGGAGACCCTTTTTACTGGCAAAGAGGCATTCCATCTTAGTCCTCACGGGTGACAACGCATCTGCATCTTGAGTCTTTATTGAGGATAGATGTAGATGTCTATGGGTCACAGTAACCACTTACCATCAGGTGGACTGTGTGTTCGTTTGTCACCCGATCCAATAAAAAAAAACAAAAAAAAAACCTCGAAGTCCCGAGTCAGAAACGTTTGATTATCCATCAAGTTTATGTTATAAGTTAAAATAAATAAGATATAGATGAAATATATTCTTGATGTTTTTAAGCATCGCGTTATCTTCCGATTTAAATACTAAGACCGAGAATTCGAGTTAAAAACTAATTTTTATACAAAAAAAAATTGCAGACTATGGTTTTCAGGCATATTGTACTTTAAGAATTTTGAGAATCTGGTTAGAGGTTACAGAGATTACCACACACAATTTTTTTTCTTTTTGATAGTGAATAGTAGAAATTAATGACTTTTTGAAGTGAAAAATTCTTTAGCCGCGTTGAGCGATTTTTGGTAGTGGAAATATTTATGAGTTCGCCTCACCGCTGGCCTCGATCGAGCATTGGTAGACATGACAGACTAACGACGTATAGTATAGCGGCCTGTGTACATGTATACGCATATATCATTGAATTTTCACTTCTGTCGGCAGTCCTTATGACTGCCTCTGTTTCTTTTAATAATGTCCTCTAGACCGAATTTCGGTCACGGCGACCAGTCTCAACGGAGACTAGCCCACTGCGCTCGACAGGATTATAGTGTCCAAGCGTATGCGCATGCACAGGTGTACTCTCTATTCTCTCACTCTCAAAGTTCTAGGGGACGGTAATCCGATATGACCAAAGAGAGACCAGGCGCAAAAAACTCAATAACTATTTTATATTTTTTAGTGCATACCTCATTCGTGGTACCTCGCCATCGATATACAGCTGCATATTCTTTCGCCTCTGCTGTTGTTTTGGTTGTTAAGTGGTAAACGTCATATCGCTTGGTCGGCGTTAATGGCAACACTGGCGGTCACATTGGGCGGTTCTGCCATATACAATTATTTCATGGAGTTGCCATCTCACACCGTCGCTATTGCGTACGTATTCGATTTAGTTTATAGAATGTTCTTGCCGGTTTTGGGGTTCGGTTAGCGTGACTATTTAAGATAATGGTAGGAGCTCGCATTTTAACCACAGACAAAACAACTTCATTATGTCTGTGTTTTTGTTTTTTGAATCGATTAACAGCTTAACCCGGGCGGTTCATCAGGTTCAAGGCCACAGCAGCTGCAAGGAAGTAAGGAGTCCTTGCAGATTGCGTTGGTACTTAACCCCGGGACAGCTCACCTTATATACAGCACAAGCCCGGTCGTGCATGGAGTATTGCTGCCATGTGGGCTTGTGATGAAAAATTCCACCTAACAGCTTGGGACTCTAATGGCAAGGCGTGCTTAGAGGCTTTTTGGTTACTATCATGTTAAAACTAATCTCACTAGTCTCTAACACAGGTGCAAAGTAACCACTGTTTCGTTGTCGACTTACCACGAACCAAACTGTTTGTTTCATCATTCGTCATTTTTCATGCGCAGTTTATTTTATTTTTTTGAGTTGCTATCAGCATGATGCTGCTGCCCATCTCCCGTTTTATTTATCTCTATCGCCTCTTATGACACCCACAGGATGATAAGCCCCTAAACGGTAAACAAAAAATAAATAAATATAAAATCGTTATAACAAGCAGTAATGTATATTATGTTTTGTGGCATAAAAACCGCTATTTTCTAAAATATATAAATTTTAATTAAATAAATACTTGATTTATTTAACCCTTTTTTTTGGGTTCAACAGACGAGGCGAGGAACTGACGGATTATATGACCAAGTATTATTTCCATATAATGTCTCGAATGACTCCGTTCGTTGTCGGTATGGTGTATGGATACGTGCTACATCTGTGGCATGGAAGGAAAATAAAAATTCATCCAGTGAGTGCATTCAAATGTTCTGTTATTGTAGTACTGATTTATTATAACGATGTCAGCTGTAAGTAAAATTACATACTTTTTATTTAACAAAAATGGACCTTATATGGTGCAGTTTCTCTTTTATGTCCGGATCTAGTAATCAAAAACGTTCCTTTGTTGTTCCTTTGAGGAATTTTGTTCCAAGATGAAACCTACCTTGTCTTTGACTCCTCTGTCATACGGTAATACAGTAGGCACACTTTCGAATAAAGCTAAAGGTCGGGAATAAAAAAGAAGTTAAAATTAAACGAAATAAAATTTGTAAAATGACATTCATTCAATGTGCAATATTTACGTTAATATAACAAATAATTTTCTCACAGATCGTGGTACTCATTTCATGGGCGATAACTTTTGGTATAATCTCAGTTATCTTTTATATTCTACACCGGGTAAAGCAGTTGGAATGGGATGATCAAGCCGTTGACACTATATTGAACACATTGATGAGGCCAATGTGGGCTGTCGCTATTGGTTGGATAGTTCTCGCTTGTGTTCATGGATATGGAGGTTTGTTATTCATATTTTGGATTGGATAAGTAAATACATGTACATTTTTTTCATTGTCAATTCAAAAAAAAAGAACTAAATATCTAAACTGATATTATAGTCTTACATTATCCTAATGATATTTGTACCTATTTCCTTAGAATTATAGCTGAATAATTTTGTGTTTTACAAACACGCTACACACGTTAATTCTTTCATTTTAATGTATTTTAATTAATTATAGTGTATTTTCATAATTTTTTAAAGATTTTTTTTAAAGTAGTTAACAATATTATTACAAATTAATATTCATTACTAGCTGTTCCCCGCGATTTCGCTCGCGTGTTATTTGGGGTTTTAATTTTTTAGCGCGGAACCCTAATTCTTTTTCTAAAATAAAAGTAACCTAAGTTACTCCTTATGACATCAGCTACCTGCCAGTGAAAATCCCGTCAAAATCGGTGCAGCCGTTTCGGAGATTAGCCGGAACAAACAGACAGACAGACAGACGGACAGACAGACAGACAGACAGACAAAAACTTTAAAAATTGTATGTTTGTTATTAGTACCGTATATATTTTCATATGTATTTAGTAAAAAGCTGTAATTTTGAGATTACAAACAGACACTTCAATTTTATTTATTTGTATAGATATTTTAATAATTTTTTAAAGAAGTTAATAATATTATTACAAATTTATATTTATTACTAGCTGTTCCCTGCGACTTCGCTCACGTGTTATTTGGAGTTTTAATTTTTTTGCGCGGAACTTTAATTCTTTTTCTAAAATAAAAGTAGCCTAAGTTACTCCATGTGACTTCAGCTATCTGCCAGTGAAAATCCCGTCAAAATCGGTGCAGCTGTTTCGGAGATTAGCCGGAACAAACAGACAGACAGACAGACGGACAGACAGACAGACCGACAGACAGACAAAAACTTTAAAAATTGTATGTTTGTTATTAGTACCGTATAAACTTTCATATGTATTTAGTAAAAAGCTGTAATTTTGACATTACAAACAGACACTTCAATTTTATTTATTTGTATAGATGTAATTTTTGTGACTTGGACGACGTAGAAGTTATTGCAGCTTCTGCTATTTATTTAATGAGTACATATAATTATCATGTCAGTGTACTCCGCAGTAAAGTTGTTAAAAAGAAGAAGCAGTGACATTGTCGAAATTATTTTGAAGTTGTAATTTAATTAAAACATAAAATCTCACCGGGACGGACGCCAAGCTGTAACTGACATGGCCGACTAACATGTAGACGCGACTTGCCGAGCGCAGGCGAGCACCTTTGATTTGTGCAGAAAAACCGACACTGTTCCGAAGTGGACGAGTCGTAGCGAGCGCGTAAGAGAGAGCGAGTGTCATTAGGTCTACAATGCGCCAAAGATGCGCAAACACAACGAATCTAATAAAGACGAATCGAGGCATAGTTAACCATCTCGCTTGCAATCGTTGGCTTCATATCTCATCTAAAAAAATTGCATAAATCTTACATATGAAAAAAATGATCATTCACCGTCGTCGGCTTGTACTAGTCGTCGGCGAAGCCTGACTTGTACCTATAAAAAAAATCGTGGAAGAATTCAAAGTTATGTGGGCTATGCAAAACAGTGGCGCCGCTTCGGTGGCAATAAACGTAAACTTTATGTTATTTGTTTATTTTTAATGAATACTTGAATTGTATTGTCGCCCAGGCGATATATTAATATTAATTGAATAATAAAGACATTATAATTAATATGAAGAGCAACACATCCTCTCATTGAACCAACCTGTAACACATGGCGACCCTGCCAGGATATTTAATAATATGTCATGTGGGCTACACTATAGAATTAGAAAAATGAGATTGGTGGAAATAATAGAAAGTTCTAACAGCATCTGGTAGAAGGCGTTATGAAATACCCAGGTCGGCATCGGAACGCCACTTCATGGAAGATAACTTTGATTGCTCATGGGTCGGGTATCTCCTACAGAAAACCTTATTAGGTTTAGAGAGCAAGTCAAAATATGCATAAAGATTTTTAAACCATGGTAAGTCAGACAAAAATTGATTATTCTAATCAATTTTTGTCTGACTTTGGTGACCATAGCGGAAAAACCATCCATAAATACAAACTTCGGCTGGCGATAGATGGCAGCATTTAGTGTGAACAACTGGCCTGCCCAGCTTACTAGGCTGTAATATATATATATATATATATATATATATATATATATATATATATATATATATATATATTTATATATATTTATATATATGTTAGGTCCTTACATATGAAATTAGCGTTTTTGTCGTACTGAATTTAATCTGAAATATCTCCTCTTTGGTTATAGAATTCCAAATTCAAATTTATAAATTCATTTAGCTGGTACATTTGAGTTTTGAAAACAGTCATTTATTATTTTTTCCTCATTATTTTTTTCTTTGGCGTCACTTATTACCACACAATGAAAAACATGAAATATCGGTATATTTACAAGTACGAGTTCTACCGTGGCACTAGTGCTGCAGAAGCAGCTCGAAGGATTAATGATGTGTACGGCGCTGGTGTCGCAAAAGAAAGCACGGTACGTTTTGGTTTCAACGTTTTCGTTCTGGAAATTTCGACCTTCAGAACCAACCCCGTGGACGGCCGGAGACCAAAGTGGAAAATGAAGAATTTATGGATATTGTGGAAGCGGATCCATCACAAAGCACTTCAGAGATAGCTGAAGGCTTCGGGGTAAGTGATAAAACTGTATTAATCCACTTGAAGCAAATCGGGAATGTAACTACCTATGAGATGGCAAAAGTGCATAGATAACAACGGTGCATACTTTGATTAATTAAATATATTTTACAAAAAAAAAAAATAACTTTATATTCCTCCCGTACAAAACGCTAATTTCATATGTAGGTCCTTCATATAAGGATTGTTAATTGAAAATAATTACATTCAACATTGAACCTAAAAGGGGCGGAGAAGCAATACAATGGTTAACATTATATGTCTCACTAAAACGAATATATCTAATAAAATGCCTTGTGGTTAAGAGAATTCACAACCCCTTTTCGTCCGGAGGGTGTCATAAGAGTCGATTTAGGGATATGCCAAAAATATTTTATGGCTTCCAATAGATGGCGCTATAACCATATCGTTTACGGCAGGCGTAAAATACCCATACAAATGAAAAAGAGCAGTGTCATATATATTAGGTGCAAGATATCTGGTACTGCGATCGTCAATCCGCCAGTCCAGCTTAAAAATTAAGCCAAATCATCCCTACAACCGTGTAACCATCCCTAGTACCGTGTAGTGACGGTGTAAGAATATATACTACCCTATATCCCTTGGGTGTCGTGAGAGGCGACATAGGGAAACAAATAAGAAGATGCGGCTATACCCTCCACGTTTCGTTCAGCGCTAGACTTACGTGCCGCGACTTGTAACTATGGCAAATATCCCACCTATGAGGCAATCTATGGGGCAAGCCTATGTTTAGCAGTGGACTTTAATAGGTAGGGTACCTATCCCTACAACAGGCCAGGTTCATGTTCAGTAGTGGGCTTTTATGGACTGATGAAGACGAAGAAGATTTTAATAATAGATACAATGAACTTAAACATTTCGTTTTTAATTTTCTTAACAGGTCCTATTAATTGGTTTCTGTCCCTGTACATCTGGCAGTTACCGAGCCGGCTCTCATACGGAATGTACTTATTCCATTTCCCAATAATTTTTATTGCAAATGACGCTAAAACGACCCCGCAACTGTTTTCTGTCCCAATAGTTGTAAGTATATACTTTTATATAAAGTCGTAATGTGATAGTAGGTACTGACATCACGCCACAAAAATACATATATACATTATGTACATTATGTATCGAACAATCGTTTAGGCTAAAATCGCGCTCAAAAGTTTACACACAACTCTGCACGTATATAAAAATATGTTTTATATTATTACTTACAATCCGTTTGCTCCTTCTCACTAGCACCTGAACATTCACAGCTGAACATAACCTATCATCGGAGGGAATTCCTTAGTATAGTTTATTAAACATACAGAGTCCAGTAAAGTAAATAATACTTAACTTATTACTTATTCGAATCGAATTCATAATCAACTTCTTAACAGTTCACCATGGTGAAATACGCCGGGGGATTCCCTTCTCCGCATCCATTCACCACAGGCTATGTGAGCTCTTCTTATATTCACACGGTGCTCAGAGGAAAAGGGGCGTGGTAATATAAGTGATAATATTATACGTATACATATCAACTCGATGAATGTTTATGTAAAATAATATTTATTTTTCGTGTCGATAAAACTTATTAGTAATAACCTATATTTTAGTATTTTTGTAGAACACACTGATAATAGCATATCACATTTTTTTTTTAAATCTAATCAGATTGTTATTCTTTTCAGTTATTTAGGTCGCTGTCGTATATAATCCTGTCTTTTATCGTGTCTTTCGTTCTCACTGTGGTTATAGATAACCCATTCACGAATATCTTTAAGCGTCTATTAGAGAAGGGTGAGTCATAAATTTTAATATTTTGTATAGATTGAGCAAGTAGAGAACAACGTTTGCAAGTTTTGAGAATAATATAATCTTAAGTATGTTTGCGCTAACATGATAACGGCGCTTGTTTTATTTTTTCAAAAGTTTTGCTCTTATTTCTGGGAGAATTATGTTGTAAGTAGTCTTCACTGCTTTGCAGAGTATGTTGGCAGATTTCACGTTTCTCCGAAATATTTCCTTGACATAAGTCCACCTGATGGTAATTAGACTACAATTAAGATACTTTCTCATCCGTAAGGATTAAGAAAGAATTCCTCGTTATCAGTAAAATGGGTCTCTGGTTATCTACCATACGAAACGCCGCAGTAATAGGCTGGTACTTTACGTTAGTATTCATATAATGTCCATATTCTTTATCCACAGAAGATGCCTATGAAACAGTCGACAACTGGACATACATATACCTCTTCTATTGTACGAAAAGTTTATCATAACGTCTCGCACGTTTGACGCTGCTCCTCGTTGCGTCGTCTTGCTCCTTGTCCCGTCGCCTGTGTGGGTATTTTACGGCTAACAGTATACCGACATCTATCTGAAACCATGTGATGTTATTCAGTATTTTTCTCTCTACTCCCTCTTACCGACACCCACCGGAACATATTATGTGATGAACATATTAAGTATGTTGAAATGACATGATATGTCATTTCAACATACTTCAAATCGAAATAGGTGATAACAACGTTTATACATCATTTGCTTTATTTACAGGTCGAACTGAAAAACGGAGAACAAAACTATCAAGAAGTTAATATATAGTAAGTTTGTTTGTTGATGAAGTAATGGTTATAACCATCGTTAAAAGTAGCAAAATTAAAATAATTTAATACAAATAATGTGACTTTTCATTTTATGTTATGTTTTCGTTTTATTTTAAGGACAGATGTTAGGTGATATCATACTCTTTTATTTGAGGGATTTTTCTACTTTGGGGGGCGGGGAGGGGGGACATTTATCTTTTGAGATATGCCGGCCACATCGCTCCCTATCTAGGAAACTCACATCCTAGGAACATACTGCTCACCTGAATGTAAGTGACTACCGCCGTTCATAAATAACTGCAACACCAGGGGCATTGTAGGTCCGTTGCCGACCTTTTACAAAGGAGTTAGCTCTTTTCTTGAAGGTCCCTAAGTCGTATCTGTCCGGAAAAATCGCCGGTGGTAAACAATTCCACAGAGACGTCTTGTAAAGTGCAGCCGGTGTGTCAACATGAATTACTTTCCCGCTCTGCTGACCACGTTAAGCTTTTTAGAGGCCAATTTGGCCTGCTCTTCCAAGTGACCACGAAACTACCCATTACGTGATATGTCGACGACGAGGATTCCGATACCGGCTGAGGCAACAAGGGGAGTGCCTTGAAACTGAAGAAATACGACAAAGCGGTTCTTTTTATCGGTAAACGCGCAAACTTGTCTTTTCTGGAGGTTAAACTGGACTAGATTTAGTCGCCCCCAATCTAAGACTTGACTTGACTTCAAAGACTCGACTTTAGACACAAGTTTGTTCCGGTATTCGGCGACGTTTTCCTAAGAAATATTGGCATGGCCGGTGTATAGATGATCACCAGTGCTTACATCTACATAACAATGAATGTTGTAATTGATATGCAAAAGAAACCGCGTTGGTGATAGCACGCAGCCTTGTGGAACATCAGCATGAATAGGCTTGTAATTGGATCATACACCTTGATGCTCCGATCTGCAAGAAAGGTGGTGATCCAGTTGCACAATTTCTAGGGAAAGCCATATGAAGGGAGCTACAAAAGAAGCACTTTGTGCTAAACCCGATCGATGACCTTCGCTATGTCCAAACTAACGGCCAATGCTTCCCCCTTGGACTCTACTGCCTCCGCCGATCTATGAGTCAGGTAGACCAGAAGATCACCAGCTAACCGACCCCGCCGAAAACCGTATTGGCGCTCACTAATCAGCCAGCTGGTGATCCTCAAGGTACTGTATGAGCTGGCAGTTGATGTGGCAATTATTTTGGAGAACAAGGAGGTGATGGCGATAGGCCTGTAGTTAGACGGGTTTGAGCGGTCGCCTGTTTTGGGATTGGGTGGACGAAAGCTATCTTCCATGAATTCGGAACCGGTGTCAACTCTGGAGCACACGTCCTCAGCACAATTGGGGAAATACCGTCAGGCCCACTCGATTTGTGGATGTCCAGGGAGAGGAGTGCTTTACGAACTGAGCGCTGCGTTAACCGCAAAAGATAAGATGCTAGATAATAACTCCAAATAAAGTAATCTATTTCTTTTATAAATTTAAAGTGACAAACGAACTTAGAGTTTTCATGGTAAGAGGCTAAAGCAGTCCATGTACATTTGCATCCAACTTTAACCAAAGAAAGCTGCAGAACTAAAATTAAAAAGGCCTCAAAGCCTGTAATTATACCGGTTTTGTGTACCCTTGATACTACAACCCCGTAGTGTAAGCACTGCTATTTGGCGTCAGAAATAGTTAAGAGTGTGGATCCTAATAAGACGGGAGGACTGGAGTACCACCACCTTGTAATGAGGAGCAAGAATTGGTTTTACCTTTAATTTTTTCATTTTTGGGATTTTTAAAACTCCTGCATCACCATCAGCTTCATACGAAACCGTTTCAATTCCATAGTATACAGTAGTCTAGTCGACTGGTCTTCTGCGATGGACAAGATTATAATGCACGAGTGTGTGCACAGTGCGTCCCATCGCACGTCCCAATGCCAGAGAAAGATCAGGTAACTAACGGCTTTACGTGCTTTACTAGGCACGGGAATGAAACACCACCAACTTTCTGACTCCGAGCTGGTACTGCGAATACTTGACAGAAAACACAATCATTGATTTTAACCCCAACCGGTATCGGACCCGGACCATAATAGTCAGCAGTAGCGTTTACCTTACCTTAGACAATCAAGAAGAAGAACATTATATAAGTAATACGGCTCCGTGGCGCAGTGGCTTGGCAATGAGTTACAACGCTGGGGGCCGCGGGTTCGAATCCCGCACGGAACAAGTGTTTGTATGGTCTACAAATAATTGTTCCGGGTCTGGATGTTTGTCTTTGTGAGGTTTATGTTTGTAAACTGCCTCTACGATACAGGAGAAAATCCTAGTGTGGAGGTAACGTTTTTAAAAAAAATACATGATAAGTACTATTAAGGTAGGTACATTTATTTTTAGTGGATTGATGGTTATCCTACTGAAGTACATTTATATGATTTATGGGACTGTTAACAACTCTGAAAAGTACATTGCAAATTTCAAGTCATATACGGGCTACTTAGAGTTCAAAGTGAATGTGAAAGTGAATACAAATATAAATTATATCCGACTGTATGGTTATGGCTTTCTCGACTCATAAGTTGCGCCGAATTTACGCGAGCAGCGCGTGTGCGCGAGACAAACAACAGAGGAACGTTAATGTCCAAAAAACGCTAGTGTGTTGGAGTAACGTGACGTTACTGGCCAAAACATTTGCATACTGCGCGAATCGCAATCGTAACTCATGTTTTGTTTATTAGAAAGACATCACAACAAGATTTTTAATATAAATTATACTCTTGTAAACTTAATTAAAAACTTTTGGGAGGCTTGGAAAGTATTGGTAAAAAGACAAATTGAAATTTGATATTAATGAACTTTGACTAGTCCTTTATTAACAACATCTATTATAAAATATAAAAGTCTTTTTTCGATATTGATTGACATTGTATAAATTTAATAGCTACATACACGAATAAGAATGATTATTGAATTGTGTACTTGGGTCATGGGTAGTATTGCAAACTGTAACCAGTTTGATAGAGCACCATACTAATGATGACTTAGGGTTGCATCTCAATTGCATACTGTGAGAATATCCCCGTGCGAGAAAGGTAGGTATCAAAACTCTCACAGAAGTTTTGACAATCCAACCAAAAATCTTTTTTGTTTGAATGTTGTTGTAATATGTTGCCTATGAACATTTTTTCCATTGCGTAAGTCCCGCCGCATGCATTTGGAGATCTGTCTGTTCAGATGTCTGTTGAAGAATGTAGCTTCATCTCCCGTCTAACAGCCATGAGATTAAGAGTGTGATCGGAGAGTTTTTGTGTTCTTCTACGGCGGGTCTTGCAGAACTTAGCTCCAACCGCATGGACAGTTTCCACGAGCTTGTCATTCATATCGTCCACTTCATTGCAGTCTTCTAGGCACTGAAAACGGTTTTGTAACTCGAGCTGAAAGGTTTCGGGACTTTGGATTAGAGCACGAGGGGGACGGAGCGTTGACTTCATTAGACGAGACCTCTCCAACTTAACGTTTAGGTTCAGTGTGCCTCTAACCATTCGGTGATCGCTACCAGTTTTCACCCTCGCGATCACGGAGACATCACTGAACAGTTGTCGTCTGGTCGTCATAATGAAGTCAATCTCATTTTTTGTCGAACCGTCGGGGCTCGACCAGGTCCACTTCCTGTGGGGCCGCTTCTGTAAGAAAGAGTTCATCATAAAGAGTCCCTCTTTCTCCATGAAGTCGGCCAGCTGCTGGCCCCTTGGGTTCCGTTGCCCTATTCCAAATTGCCCTACTTTCAGCTCACCGTTCTCTCTTGTGCCTAGTTTTGCGTTAAAGTCTCCCATTAACACCGTATATTGGGTTTTGGAGGAATGCATGGCTCTAGAGATATCCTAATACATTTCCTCCACCTCCTCATCGGGGTGTGCCGAGGTTGGTGCGTAAACCTGTATGACCTTCAGCGAATACCGTTTGGTGATTCTGAGTACAAGGTACGCAACCCTCGTCGACACACTCCCGATCTTTACAACGTTGTTAACGAGAGAGTTGTGGACGATAAATCCGACACCTCCTTGGGACAGATGGTCGCCCTCCCGGTGATAGAGCAAATTGCCGGATTCGAGGATTACCGTGTCCTCCCCTCCTCTTCGGACTTCGGATAATCCTATAATATGCCAGCGCAACTTGTCTATCTCTTCT